GTGATTGCGCCGAATCGAACAATCCGTCATACAAAATATTCTTTAATACAAATATGGCGCCGGCATTCACACTCATCAGTTGACGAACAGTTTGCCAGCTGTCAGATAGTTGATAGTTCTGTGACCAAACAGGACCGGTTCGGTACCGTGACTGTAACGTGACTGATGTGTGTGAATCGACCTTAAGTCGCCGTGCCTTACGATTCGCCGCGATTCCGCTGCGAAAGTTTCGCGTCGGTTTGGGGAATCCTTAAGTCGCCGTGCCTTATGATCATCGAGCAATAAGACAAAAGAGGGAATCTAATCGTTATGAAAAGGAGACCAAAAAAGTGGCCTCTGATGGCGGGCATATCCGGAAATGCAAAGGCGCTAAATTTAAATTTTCCAACACTTGTTAACAATACCTGTAAAATATTTTTCAGACAAGAAAGTTTTAATTAAATATTAACGATAATAGTCTAAAAAGTGACACAATTGGTAAAAAACTTCTATATAAATAAAATTTCATGTGACAGTTGGGACAAACAATAACATAACCAAACTAAATTTGACTTCTTAAACAAGGAAAGAGACAGTCTATCCTTGTCTAAAGTGGCCTCTCAAGATGGCACTTCCTGTCTATCAATATGTTTACCCCTTCTACCTTTACATTCCCTCTTTTGTCTTATTGCTCGATGCTTATGATTCGCCGCAATTCCGCGTAGGTTGTGGCTGCGAACGTTTCGCGTCGGTTTGGGAAATCCTTTAAAGTGGCTGGAAATTACTATACAACCAAGCACACGTACTTATAGCCATAGTAAATAAAATAGAACTTTGCGAATTACAGACAATCAATATTTATTTATCTGCACCATATAATAAATAGTTATGTTAAATTATAATAACTAAAATATATTTTTTAAATATATACTACCCAAAATTTGATGGGTTTAGTATACACTTCCACTATTTAGAATAATTCTTCTTTTTTCAAAGAAAGAAGTCTGCAATAGTAGTATACTTGAGCTATTAATATTGAGAAATAGGAATTGTGTTCTAGGGTAGGTTTCCAACAATGAATCTGTCCAGTCCAACCAACCTAAGCGAATGGAGTATAGTACTGAATTCTACAGCAACACTCCCTCTCAATTCTACAAAAGTACAAACTATAAACAAAATTACATTATACTAATTAACTGTAAAATTAAACATTAGTTTTAAAAACATTCAAACAATAATTCAAATTGAGTAACAGGCAATGCCTTGTTCATAATATTAGCTGTTTGTTTGTAGCAACATAATCAATAACAAAATTTCCTTTATTTACCAAATCTTTTACGAAATTATGTTTTACATCAGTATGTTTTGAGCGTTTGGTCACATAAGTTTGAGCCATTTTTATGCAATTTTTTTTTCAAAAATTTTAATAGGATATTGAAAATTAAACATCTTTTTTAAAAGGAGTCAAATATTCGGCTTCACTGCTACTAAGAGCAACTACCGATTGCTTTTTGGAATACCAGTGTACATTTTTATTATTGCAAAGAATAACATATCCAGAAACACTTTTGTCATTAGCGTCGCTGGCAAAATTTGAGTCAGCATATGCATGAACAGAAACTTAACCATTTTTAGTAAATTTATTGTATATTAAGCAGTATAACACAAATAACGAATTATATTTTTAAGATGTTTCCAATGACTACTATTAACACTATGTTGAAATCTTCCAAAAAATGAAACTGTAAAACACAAATCTGGCCTAGTGCCAAGCATCAAATACATCAGACTACCAAGTACCTCCTTATAAGGGACTTTAAAATCAGTTTGAGCTTCTTTTTCTAAATTCAATTTAGGTTCCACTGTAATTTTACTAATCTTGCAATTTACCATGTTGAAACGATTAACAATTTTTGTAAATAAATTTTTATGGCCAACAACTTATATCTCAGCTTTCAATTAATAATTCTAAAAAGACAATTTTTGTTTAATTTGATAAATCACTTAATTCTAAAGTTTTCTCTAAATTTGACATCATCTTCATTTGAAGTTGAAATTACAAAATTATCATCTACCTATATTAAAGCATACGTTTTTCCATTGAAATACAAGCAAGAGTCAAATTTAAATCTGTTAAATCCTAAATTACATAAATGCTGTATTCCAACATTTAGGGCTTTTTCGTAAGCCATATGGGTAAAGCTTTTACCAACTTATATAATACACCAGGTTTTACACCATCCGGTGGCTTTAAAAACGCCAGTTATCTAAAAAGCAATTTTCACATCAAGTTAATGAATATCCATCCTGAGCAAATAATTATTAAATAAAGAAGAGTCTAAAAATAGAATCATATATGTCTCCACCAAAAATGTTTTTGATTGAAACGAATATCTTTCAGTTTTGTCCAGTCCCTGTAGTCACCTCTTGTGGGCAAATATACATTCCAAATGCTTAAACGATTAATTTGATTACACGTACTTGTAAAATCGTCGCCATTGCTCTATTGTTGGGGATGTTGCAATACGTTGTTTCATTAATTTGTATGAAAAGATGGCAGGAACAATAGAAAAGTTAAACAATACAATACTGACAATGCATGAAGATTACGGAAAGCGCATCGACAGAATGTAGGACCATATGAAAAGTCTGGAGAAGATAATAAGCGAAAAGGACACAGAAAATAAAAGACTGAATGAGAAGCTCATGAATCTGCTAACAAACAATAATAAAAACAAGTCAACAGCCAGATCAAATAGAAAAGTGGAAGTCAAAGACGATGACTTACAAGTTACATACAAAAAGGAAAGAAACAAGCCAACAACAGGCGCCGGCGAAACTCCAACTGTCACGAAAGGCAAATCTCGTGCTAAACCGACTAAAGCGTTAGCAGAAAATAAGAAGTGCAATGAGAATTCCCGCCGTCGTCGAGCAAGAACACAGAAGTCGAAGAAGAAATAATGTAAACAAATGAAACAATACCAGCCACGAAGAAGAAACAGTAAGAAAAACACAACAGAACAGGATACTAAGAAACTGCAAATAATGCCTTATTCAAACGAGAAACGCTGTAGACTACCACAGAGTCATACACATACTTGAAGAATATAGCAAAAAAACAAAGATCTAAGGATTGCATTCCCATTGGCAGAAGATGTAAACCCAAAGGTGGTAATCACGCGATTTCCACCAAACCAAGATCTAACAGAAGAATTAAACGTTATATCCAATCAGCATTACCAATATGAAGTCAAAAAACCGCTTCCAATACACATAATGGAAGTGTAAAAAGAAGGTCTACACAAACTAAAAAATATCACCAATATCTACATAAAAGTGGCCATAGAAGAGCCGAGAAAAAATCTAAGGATTCTATCATGCCAAAAAGCCTGCCACAAAGATTCAAATTGTGTTAAATGCGAAGAAACACACATTAACAAAGAGTGCACACTCCCCAGGTACAAACTAGCCAAATCCGCTAACCGAACACCCACAAAACTGAAAACAACGAGAAAATCAAATGTGTCTTATGGACAGGCAACACAAAAGGAATTTCCAGTCACAAAAATAGACGTCAGCGCAATATTAAAAAAATACCGACAAATTGAACTCAACAAGATGATCAAACAGCTGACTCTAACAATGTTCCAGAAAGCGATGAAGAACTTCCAAGTTTTCAGTGAACTGAATAGAGAACTAACAGGATACCTGAAGAAAATTAACACAAAATACGAACATAAAACTCCCCAGGAGGAACAGCTCATCCAGAATATCTACATAAGCAGAATGAATATGAAAGTCCCGTGTCGTCAAAATAACAAGAGATAAGCCACCAATCAGCAGAAGTATCGGACCACCGCGCAAAAGATGGAGTAACAACCTTCCATAGAGGTATTAATCCGCCAATAAACAAGCAGAATTGCTTATAAAGAGAAAGAAGAAGAAATATAATGAGGAGAGAACATGAAAGATATATGGAGACTACAAAGAATATTAAGGACTGATAGAAAACCACTAGACGGTGAAAACGGAATCGTGTACTCCGAGGAAGGAAAAGTAGGGCGATGATGAGAACTCTCGAGATAGTGTACATTAAATTATCACCGAGATGAAGATATTGAATTGATCAAATAAGTCGAAGAACCATAGGCAGAAATGCCCGAAGACCAAGAGGTCATAATCACTCTAACATCTCCAAGGGAAGTAAGTGAGAAAAAGCTCACAAAAAAGCACCTGGACCGTACGAAATAACAATGTTCCAATCAAAACCATAGTTCATGTAACAAATATTACAAATGCAATATTAAAAAACATGTGATTGTTATTATATTCAAAAATAGATACAGTACAGTCTACGACCAAGTTAAGTAATCTTGCTGGGTTTATTAACCTAGCATTATAATTCAATTCGTTGTGGAAACTGTCGTTGCTTAATTTGGGTTGGAATGGGGTTTCCTTTAACTTATGCGTATAGGTCTCCGTAGATTATTTTTATACATTTTTTTGGCCTTGATTGGTATGTGCATGCGCATTAAGTATATTGTAATTCAAGACTTGGTCCTAGTCCTAAAATGTCTATTCTAAAGCCAATGGCTTTAAAATTACTTATTAGGTAATCCAGTACACAAGATTAATTCTTTGGGATCGCAGCTGTGAAAATCTTCCAGTCTATTCGAGAGGGTCGCCGGGATTACAGATGAACGGTGTTTATATATAAAAAGGAAATTTTATTGTAAACAGTTTTAGTCTGAATATAATGTATCGAGTTTGAATTATTGTCAGGAATATAAATTGTAATAAATGTAAATAAATTATATAATTATAGTGTAAAAATAAATTAGTGTAATATTGTATAAATAAAGCCTTTCATAAACTTGTGTTGTAAAAGTGTAGAATCTTTTATAATAAATAAAGACAATTAATTAGATTTATTATAATAGTACACTATACATCATTACAAAACAAAGACCATAACAGACTCACTCTTGGTTTTTATTATAAAATAAAAATGTCCTTAGTATATGTTACATAGGCATTAAAACAAACACAAAAATATATTTTTTCAACTTTTACAATAGTAGTCCATTTTTATAAGAATATGATACAATTACTTTATTTTAGTTTATTCAAATATACATATACTGTTTACCTATTTAATATTAATCTAAGAATCTTTTATAACCTTTCGACCCATAGATAGTGGGGTGAAACTACTTTTGCTCGGAGGTGGCATCAATTTGCTAGTTATGTACACAAAAGGCTCATACAGGCTTGTCCTTTTCAGAGCTGATGCTGTGAAATGTTTTATTTTTTCCCTGATGCACCACTGATTTGCTTTGCTGACTATAAGATTCATTTCTTCATTTGCTTCTTCTTTAAAATGATTACCAATAACAACTATAGACACCTTAAAAATTAGAAAATGTTATTAAATTGTATGAAGTGTTCCTAATTATGTAAGAAAAAATATCAAAAAATAAGCGTTTTGATTTTCTTTCATTTTTTTTCTTCTTTAAATTCAATGTGTATTGCAACCACTCACGCAAAGTATATGATAATACAACTAAAATCTATAGTACTGTAGTTTTTTTATCCTTTATGTATATCATAAAAATTTCATAAGATTTTTATTTAAAACTTTTTACGTTTTAGATTTTCCAACGAGAATAATAGGCACAATATAAATGTTTATTTATACTGCCAGATGCCTCTGAGACATCAAATCGCTATCCTTTTTGAAGTTATACTTCTATACGCACGGTCGGTGTTGGAAATTTGCATGAGAGTGAATCTGTGAAACACTGTGTACACTGTGCAGGTGTATTATGGTGTGTATATGTGCACATATGTATATATGTGTTTACCTGCAATCTAAACAGGTTGCATACCATCAACACAGGTTTAATACATTACTATCTAAATAAAATATGAAGAACTCCTAATGAATTTTTAATCATACTATTTTTGTTTTTTTTTTATTCTCTATGGATCAGTTAAAACAGACCATTAAAAGATGTAGCAAACGAATTGTTACTATTTTTAACTAAATTTTAAAATGTATTTTGTCCATTACTTTATAAGTTATATTTTATATGTTTGTTATTAATGTTGAGTGCCATAGCTTTGTACAAATAATCTCAACGACTAGTAAGTACACTGACATTTTGTTATATATTGTAGTTGTGATATCTTGAAAACGGAATTAAGCAATTCCGAAAGCTAGACCAAAAGTCAGAAGAGTCTTTCTGTAACATCCCGGGCATACTTTTGACTGCAGCCCTAATAAACTTTGTTTAAATCGACAGTAACTAATATCCAGTATTCATTGTATATATATATATATATATATATATATATATATATATACATACATACATATATATATATATATATATATATATTATATATATATATATATATATATATATATATATATATATATATATATATATATATATATATATATATATATATATGCTCCTGTCCGATTTTGAATTTAGAGTAAGAAATAATTGACGATATGGTAACACTTTCAATATGCTAAGCTTACAGTGAGTATCAAATACATTATGGGTTACATTCAATACCCTGAAATAATCATTGCTCAAAAAAGAATACCATATTTTTAATCCTCCAGTTTACAGGTGGGTTAAAAATTACAGTAGATGAGTGAGGCTTGTTAGGGCATTTACTTGGTATTTTTTTTTTTTAGTGTAAAATAGTTTTCTTCTGCAAAAATTATTTTTTATTAAAATAAAACACACTTTTATGAATACATTTAATAAAAAATACCTTATTTTTCTTAAACGTTTGAAATTCTCAAAACTACAAAAAACTGTTACTTTCTGGCATATTTATATTTAAAAATTAATAACGCTGTTTTCTACAAAAACAAGAATTTTAAACATAGTCTAATAAATAAATAACTAAAAACTAATAAAACACAAATTTTAGCTCTAAAACTCTTTACTAGCAAAAACGACTAAGACTTTTACTTTTAAAATTTTTTTTCCTAATTTTGGTTTAGACAGTCCACACAACAGGCTGTAATATGCTCCAGAAAAGTCACCTCTTACACAATTTGCAAAAAAAAAATTGAGGCAATCTGGCGCACAGGCTCTAGGCAACAACTCAGTTAAAGCCTGTGCTGCAATGTTTAGTTTAACCAAAACAAGTCCTAAATTTTTTTGAAAGATTCTTCTGTCTTTTCTACAGAGTGCATGTGCATTATTGTGCCTAGTTATAACAAAAGTAAAATGTGCCAATGGACAGAATATTGCACTACCTGAATACAAATCCATGCATTGACTTCTTTTAACATATAGCATACTGAAAGAAACAGTATTAAATATCAAAAAATAAAATTTATTATTATTATTTTTTATTTTGTTAATTGTCAAATTGGGTATTGTTTTTTAAGTTTTGGAGAACATGCATAAACTATGTTGTAGAGAAAAAGGAGGGGAGGACTTTGCTTATTATAATGGTATATGACAGGGGAGGGGAGTAAGAGTGCACATGCATATATTTTTTAACTAACTTCTATCAGAGGGCAGCATTATTTAAAGTAACAGATAAACACATAAAACATACAGTTTCAAAACTATATAATAAATATAGTTAATAGTTATATAGTTAATAGTTATAGTTAATAGCTATAGTTAATATTATACAGTTTTTTATAATTCGTTTTAAAAATGCAGAAATAACATTGAATTAAAAAAAAAAGACTGAAGGGGGGTCATGAGTTGCAATTACGACATTGACATGAGGGAGGGCCTTGACTGAAAACGATTCTTTGCAGCAATGAGGAAGGAGGGTATTAAGAAGTCCAAATTTTATATATTTTATAGATGTTCCCTTGTATCCACTTGTCTGAGCTCTTTGAATGTATGTAATATATACTGTAATATGGGTTTCCCATTAAATAAATAAAAGCATTAATTGCAATAACATTTAGCAATCCATAAAATGTCACCGTTGTCCATCTTCCAGTTGCCCTGGCTACATTACATGTTAAAGTGTCTACTCCACTTTTTGTTAGGTGGTAGAAATATATTATTTCTGGTTTTTGGGCATTTAAAGTTGACAGATTGATGTTGTCAATATTGTGATGGAAAAACGATATTAGAAAGACATTTTTATATTTTAGTGCTTTATGCTAGATGGAAATACATTGTGTATAGTGGCAAAAGTTACATAAACAGATGGGTGAGACTTGTCATTCATTTAGCTGTATATCTCAAATGTATATATTTTTTTCAATAAAAAATGTTTATATTGTACAAGCAGATTCTTAACCTTGAAAGGTACCTATAAAATAGTTGTAAAGTTAATGTTAAAAAGAGTTTTGTCAGGACTGACAGGAGTCACCTGTGCAACAGGAGGGTTAAAGATGTAACATTTTTGTGTGATCCTATTAATAAGCAAAATGGGAGGTTCTGGTTAGTCTTAATTTGGTGATGAAAGATGCAAAATACATGCTCATGAAATAACATTTCTGCAGGTTGAGTGCTAATTTTATGAAGCAATTTTTATTTACAGATTAAGATAATAGAAAGAATATATTATAATTTTGATTGATGTAATACCTCTTTTTTATCTTTATTCTTATCAATGTCCTTTTTTAAAGCTACAAGTATATCTAGTGAAGTACTTTTTGAAGTATCATAAACTAAGATATATCCATCTGCCATCTGTAAGTAATGCCTGGGTAATTGTTGATTTGTCATTCCATTTGATGTAGATATTTGTGAAAATTCTATTCCAGCTGTATCATAAAACCTTAATTTTTCTCTAGTACCTTTATCAGATTCTATGTTTGCGACATAAATATCTTCTATTGTAGGATGCAAATCCTAAAAAAACGAACCAAAGTAAAAAGAAAAACACAAATATAAATTAATTACCAATTTAGTATTAGCGTGTCCATATATAACTTGTTCTAATATTGAACTTTTACCTATTCCCTTCATCCCACATACAACTACTTTGGAAATCTTGACCATTATTGCACTTTTATGATATATAATTATAAACATTAACTAACGAAAATTAAATTTTGCCATGTTAATGTGGCCTATTTGCGGGAAGCAAAGTAATCGAGGCACACTTAATGGTTAATTAACAAGAAACTACATACTAAATATGTATTACTAAAACACCAGAAGCGAAAGCTTTGGTCGGAACCTTTGATGTTGGGAGGACAGAAATTCAGAGTGACAGTGGCAATGAACCTACATTTGATTACACGAAGAAAAGTAGTGAGGAAGTCGCTCAAAACTGTAGTAAATGATAGTTACACTGAGAAATGAAGTAATCATTTTTAAGTAATCTGTTTTGTATGAATTTCGAAAAAAATAAAATGAAAAAAATATCGATTTGTTTTTTTTTAACAAACAAATTAACGTACTAAAAGTATTTTAGTACGTTAAAAAACCGATTGAATTTGAGAGTTAATTTTAAAATAGAGATGAAAAGCTTGATTTCTATTACTTTTTATCGTTTTTTTAAGGTTAATAAAACACTTCATCACTCAAAATCTATATTTTGACTCAAGACTTTTTTACTTATCAATACAGAATTATACTTTTGAAATTTCTATTCACTTTGTCTTAAGTTGCTGACTTTTTTGTTTCCTGTTGAGGAATTTCTTTGAATGTGAATATCTATTAACCTCCAACACCACGATATTTTCGCTGCGCGTAAAAACTCTGCAGCTGCGGCTAGAATGACTGTATACAAAATGACCTTAGATTTCTTTCTATGCATCTGAGGTCTCTGAAACTTCTGGTTGTATTGTAGTAAATTCAACTCGCCAGGACATATCAAATTTATGGTAGGAAAGGGTAAAAAGTTGTAATAAAACAGAATAATAAAAATTTATTGTAATTAATATACACGTATACCTCTTCGATTTCTCTTTCTGTGCATCTGAGGTCTCTGAAACTTCTGGTTGTACAGTACTACATTCAATTCGCCTGGATATATCACATTTGTAGTAGGGAGGGGTAAAAAATTGTAATAAAACACAATAATAATAATAGAAATTTATTGTAATTAATACTAATAATAATGTTTATTTAGGAAGCTTAGATTATAATATAGATTTACAAAAAATAAGCATACTTAACACTAAATAAATATGAAAAATCACTGAAATAGAGCTACCATAAAAGTAGCACCTCTTGTGTGTGATACTTAAAAAATATATGTGCAAAAAAGCAAATATTTAACAAATGTTACAAAAATACATTCATTTTAATATAGCATGTGACATAAATATGTCAATAAATTCAAGAAATATTGTAGTTGGTAAACAAGGTATATTTCGATATTTTTATTTATTACTATGATCAATTAATCTGCTCTTCGCAGAATTGTGTTATTTTTTTTTTTTTATTTATTTATGCCTCAACCTCATAGGGTCATTGGCGTTGTACAATTTAGAGTTTTACAGTTTATTTAGTACATTTATGGAATGTAAGTATGATGTCAAATTTTTCATATCAGTTCCGTCACTTAATATTGCCTGTAAGGTATCTTGTAATTTATATTGAAGTCTCTCCATGCGATATAAAGGACACTCCAGTAAAATATGGCGAACACTGAGCACAATATCACATATGTTGCACTTTGGTTTTAATTCACTCTCTAGCAGATGTTTATGGGTGATGGCGGTATGCCTATTCTCAGACGAGATAGGATGGTTTGATGTTTACGCTTATTTGAGGTTGATTTCCAAGGTAATATGGAATGTTTTACTTCTCGTAGTTTGGATGTTGATTGATTCCACTTGGTCTGCCAATCATTGATTATTAAGTTCTTGATTACAGGTTTTATATCTAGATGTGGAATGCTTCTGATTTCTACAGCTTCCGGACTCGAGATTGCTAGTTTTGCCAAGGAATCTACTTCTTCGTTACCAGCAATTCCAATATGGGAAGGAATCCATACAAAGTTGACATTTATGTTCATAGTTTGCAGTTGGCTTAATGCTGATTTAATAAGTAGTAGACTTGGATGACTAGGATATAAGTTATTTAGGGCAATTACAGAACTTAGGGAATCCGTAATAATGACAGGGTTTTTGATACTATTTTCTACCACAAAATTTATTGCATTGAGAATAGCAGTTAATTCGGCTGTGTAAATGGATGTTAATTTAGGGAGTTTCATTAATATTTTTGTTTTATTAGACATAAATGCTGCTCCCACTCCATCTATAGTTTTAGAGGCATCGGTATATATAAGTGTATGGTTACTGTATGTCTTGAATTCTTGGAGGACATATTGATATAATGCTTTGGGATGGTTATCTGCTTTTTTATATATGGAGAGTTTGGTATTGATAGATGGGATGGGAACAGTCCAAGGGGGAACAGTGTTAATATCGGGTATACAATAGATATCTTGAAATTTGAATTCAAGTTCATTGAGGTATCTATTTACCCTTTCATAAAAAGGAAGGTCAAGCCTAGCATGAGTTTTAAAGATATTCCTAAAACGGTCTGAATTTACATAGTGATTAACAGGATTCATAGGATTTGCCTGTATTGATGCCGCATATGTTAGTGAAAGTTGTTTTCTTCGGAATTCCAGGGGGACTTCTCCAGCTTCACAGTGTAAACTTTCAGTAGGGCTAGTATAAAAAGCACCTAGTATAGTTCGCAAAGCACTATTTTGTATTCTATCGAGTTGTTTTATGATATATGGTTTTGCTGAATCATAAATAATACAAGCGTAGTCGAGTTTGGACCTGATCAATGACTTGTACATAAGGGTCAGTGTTTTACTATCTGCTCCCCACGTGTTGTGTGCAACAGTTTTTATAATGTTAAGTGCAGATTGACAAGTACTTTTTAGATCATGAATGTGGTGGTTCCAGGATAATCTGTTGTCAAATGTCATGCCTAGACATTTAATTTTCTCAACATATTTTATTTCTTTATTAAATAGTTTTAATTCTGGAGTGATATAACTTCTTTTTTTTGAAAATAGCATAGCCTTTGATTTTGTTGTTGATAATTGAAGACCTGTAGAATTTGTCCATAATTCGAGATTCCATAGCACTTTCTGTAGATGGGTCTGAAGGGTTTTAACATTTATCCCCTTAACAAAAATGATTAAGTCATCTGCAAAGAGTCTAGCTTTTACTGGTAAGTCACAAGTGGAGATAATATTATTTATTGCAATAAGAAATAGGGAGACGCTTAAATTAGATCCTTGAGGAATTCCGTTTTTTTGAATTTTTGTATTAGATAAAGTACCGTTAACTCGTACATTAAAAGTTCGATGAGATAGGAAATTTTTTATGAATTGTGCTATATTACCTTTTATTCCCCATCGACTAAGTGTTTGAACAATACCATGTCGCCAAACTGTATCGTATGCTCTTGTTATGTCAAAAAATATTGCGATACATTTTTGTCCACATGCCATTGCTTCATGAATCTCAGACTCTAAACTAATAAGATTATCCAGTGTTGAACGACTTTTTCGGAATCCGCTTTGTTCCGGGGCAAGTAATTTATTATTTTCTAAAAACCACATTAATCTGTTGGATATGATTTTCTCGAGAACTTTACACATTACACAAGTTAGAGAAATAGGTCTATATGAATGTGACAGAGATTTTGGTTGATTTTGTTTATAAATAGGGATGACAATAGATGAACTCCAGATTTTTGGAAACTTGCTATATCTCCATATATTATTATAGATATTCAGCAAGTGTTTCTTTGCAGATGAAGGAAGTTTTTGAAGAAATATTGCAGGAATGTTATCAGGACCGGGAGAAGAGTTTTTTGTATTATTGAGTGAGTATTCTAATTCATCCATGGTTATGGGATAATTTAAAGGAGAAAGGTCATCAGTCGGTATATCAATACCTTTGGATTCCTCTTTCTCTTTTTTGGTCAAAAAATCTGGAGGAAGAACATTATCACTTGAGAATCTTTCAAAACTATTAGCTAGAATATTAGCTATGTCTAGAGGGGAAGTGTATATTTTTTGTTTTTCTTCTAAGAAGTTAATGTGGTTTGGGGTATTTTTCCCGGATATCTTTCGTACCATTTGCCATACTTTATTAATTGGTGTAGATGAATTTAATTCTGAAACAAACTTTTTCCATGATTCACGTTTACTTCTTTTAATTATAAATCTAGCTCGTGCTTTTAGTCGTTTGAATTCTAATTTATTTTCAAGTGTATTATATTTCCTGAATCGATTTAATGCTGTTTTTGAAAGTTTAATAGCTTCTTGACATTCAGAATTCCACCAAGGGACTGACGAATTTAATTGTTTAGGATTCATTTTACCAACGGCTTTTTCGGCAGCATTCAATAATACATTGGAAAACTCTTGAATTTGACTATCAATATTATTATTTGATTGTAAAATTTCATGTAATGCATTCATTTCATTTAAAACTAGATTATAATACTCTTGCCAATTTGCATTTTTGATATTCCATTTTTCAACATTACAAGAGTATTGTATACTGTCAGGATTTGTTATTACAATCGGAAAATGGTCACTATTATTTAAATCAGAAAGTACATCCCAAGATAAGGTAGCTGATAATGCTGGATCACATATTGAAAGGTCTATGGCAGAGGATTTACCAGTAGAAATGTCAAAATGAGTATTTCTTCCATCGTTTAGTAGGTTTAACTGAAAATTGTCCAACATTATTTCGATTCTACGACCTAATGGAGTAATTATTTTTGATCCCCATATGTAATTATGTGCATTAAAATCTCCAACTATTAGACGAGGTGAAGGTATTTGTTTAATCAAGTCTGAGATTTCATTATTGCTTGGGTTTTGTGTAGGTGGAATGTATATATTACATATGTTCATTTTTACAGGCCCTTTGATAGTAATTGCGACCGCTTCAAGTTGTGTATTGATTTGAAGAATGTCTACATCGATGGATGAATGAGTGTAAATTGCTACGCCACCACTAGCATGGTCTACATTTTCTCTATTTTTATATGTGCATGTGTAGTGTTTTAAATTATGAACTTTAGTATTTTTAAAATGAGTTTCCTGTAAACAAAGTATGGATGGAGTAAGTTTTTTAATCATTTGTTGTAATATCTCAAGGCGAGTGTAATATCCTCGTAGGTTCCACTGGATAATTGAGAAAGCCATTATAATATATCTTTTACAATTTCGTTATCGGATTCGGTGTTAGTTTC